TGCCACTGAACGGAGTGAAGTCAGGATATTGCTTTGTGACAGCAATGCAGAAAGCTGTCGCCAAATATTCTCTCTACTCTGCCAATGCTCTCACCAGGGTATTATAGCATTTGGCATACTTTCCGTTTTCTCTCTTGTTCTTCTTGTTCGTTTCATCAACTTTACTTACTGTTACGATCATGTACCTCATTACACTATTGCTAAGGAGACTAATCCAAGAAGTTTAGTGCGGCTGTGAATGGTACATTTCATCACCATTACCTGCAGGACACCGCACAATGCAGAATGAACTCTGCTACAAAACTTTTTGGATAGATATAGATACTGGTTGTTAATGCGCAAATTAGGCAGTTTATTTGTTAATATTTCTCCCTTTATTTTGACCAAATGTTGTGATAATTTGCTAGATTCTACTTATATTTGAATTTTTGTGTGATTTCTAGGAACTTCAAGTCAATTGAGGCAGAAAAGGAGAAATTGAAGCCTAATTGAGGAAATTTCATTAAGAAAATCTTGATACAAGTTTCTTAGTTGATACTTGAAAACTGCTACATCAGGGATGATGGGGTGTGGAAACCATCTAGGAGTATTCATCTACAATGCCCTGTTCGGTTGATGATTGTTACTGCATCAAGTTAGCAAGCGTTTTGGGTTTTTGCTTTTGGTTAGTTTACGGCAAAGAACAGTACAACTGATGCAGCAGAAAGTCCGCATCCCATTGAGTTTCAATTGCACACGAGGCCCATTTTTGGAAAAAAAGTAATGAAACGCTAAAGAAACCCTGGGGGAACGCTAGGTCAAACAAGACCTCGGGTTCAACTGAAGAGGAGAAAAAAAAAAAGGAGAAAACGGAAGGGCAAAGGAGAGAGGACTCTGAAAATCGACGCAGGCCATTCTGTTCCGTCCCGTTTTTCCTTCCTTTTCCCAACTTATTTTCATTTTTCAATTAAGAACTCGAGTAGTACTTTTGGCTGCAATTCAACTATGAGGAGTGGCTAATTTCTTCATCTAGTCAGAGGTTAAATCGAAGCTTTGGTTCGACAAAACTGTGAGATCGAATTGATTTGCCTACGTTCTTTAATTTGCAAGTATTTATATATTTCCTGTTCACTTATGCATATGATTATTTCTTGCAATTAAATACTTGATCACTGTTTAATTGTGTGAGTAATTAACAGCCATCTAAGAGTGCTCAATCCGTAATTGTTGGGTAATTTTAGTGCATGTGGCAAGTGACATGATTCAATTGTAGTAGAAACTTTTGAGTTGTTGTTGCGGAAATATATGATATAGCCTAAATAAACCGAGCGTGTGTGTTTGTTGGTTATAATTGGTGGCCAGTCTAATGATTAATGCTGTCAATAGGTTAAATCCTAAGAGCGTGTTTAGGACTACTTAATTGGCTAGGGCAATAACCACAGAGCTTGTTGTGGTTATCGAATCAGGAAGGTTAGGCAGGTTGTCAGAGCTTGTTGACAACCATAACCAGTTTATTTGTAAATGAAGGATTTTATCTCTGCATCTATGATCAATGATTCGAACCGTTAGTGGAGATTATACCTTTGACTAGAGATTTTCCTTCCGTTAATTTACTTTATATTTATTGTTATTTATTTTATCTGCGATTGTCTTATTTTTATTTGAGCAATTAAATTAGACAGTTCCATATCAATCCCCCCCCATTTTTATTTAATGTTACATTCATTCAAAATAAATTCCCAAGTCCCTGTGGATTCGACCCTGCTCACTGCTATATTCGAATTTTATCTTTCATGTAATTAAGATACTTTGGTATATTAGATCAAGCAAACTCTGGCGCCAGGGTGAACCTAGTAACCCATTGCACAGCCTAAGTCCCTGCTCCAGTACCATAGTGGACTTAATTCGTGACTTAAGATTAGGAATTTTATTTTTGCTGGTTTGACACCCACCACTGGTTATAGATATACCAGCCTCCTAAGTTATAGGATATCCTTCACCTGCTTGGCCTCCTGGACTGTTGCTTTACAGCATATTAGCGAATCATCTGCGAAGAATAAGTGCGAAATTTGGGGGCTGCTTTTGCTGATTTTGATTCCTGTGATATTTCCTTGGCTCATGTCCCTGTTGATCATATGAGATAGTCCCTCTGCACAAATCAAGAAAAGGTAAGGAGAAAGGGGGTTCTCTTGTCTCAACCCTCTACTGACTTTGATGAATCCCACCCTTTCTCCATTTAGGTTAAATGAATAAGACACAGAAGAAACACAGGACATGATCCAACGAACAAAAATGGAGCAGAAGCCCATGCGCATCATCATTCTCCCTACAAACTGCCATTCAACCCTATTGTAGGCTTTAGACATATCCAACTTCAGGTCCATAAAACCTACCTTTCCTTTTCTTTTGTTTTTTAGAAAATGCATGACTTCTTGTGCACTAAGAACATTATCAATAATCTACCTACCAGGGACAAAAGCAGATTGAGTCTCACTGATGCACTTGTTAAGAACCATTTTCAGCCTATTTGCCAGCACCTTAGAGATGATTTTATACGTTGTGTTGCACAGACTGATAGGCCTATACTGAGTCAAGTTTAGAGGGTTATCAATCTTAGGGATCAGAGTTATAAGAGTTTCATTAACAGCTCTCAACAGATTCCCTGTGTAGAAGAAACTGGTTACAGCATTCACCATGTCACGACCGATGATATCCCAATACTTTTGAGAGAAAAGTGGAGACATAAGTCAATTACTAAACAAAAGTCAATTCTTATTCATCAATTTCTCTCCAAAGAGTAACATAGCAACATAAAGTATGCATAAACCAAAAGGCTGTCCAAGAGGCTCCTATTTCCATCCTCAGTAGGAAATTAGCTAGTTGTAGAACTCTAAAAACTTCTAGGAATTTACCCTCTAACGATGACTGCAATTACTTAGTTAATAGAATAAAGATTCAATACAGACATATTTTGGAAATTTCTATTACTGCTTAAAGACCAAACTACTTATGACATAAAACAATAGAAACTCTTAAAAATTAAAGCTATGATGAACTTAAATAAAATCCTATTGTGGTTCCTAGTTGAAATTTGAGGAAAATCATGAAAATCTTTAATTTTCAATTATCAGAGTTCTTTGTTGACTGCATCACTTTTGTCAATTGTACACAACTTTGGATCATGGATAGCTTGTGTGTTTTCAGGAAATTTTGTTCGTCTGATCAAGCACTGGTGGTTTAGCATGGTTTCTGCATTTTGTGTAGTACCAGTTGTCTAGAAATCTGTCGTCTTCCTTAACCACAGACTATAGAGTAATAGTGAATTAGAGCCTAAGAGTTCTGTTTTTTGGCTGGTCGAACCGAGAACCAACCAATTGTTTGATCCGAATTAATTCTAAAAATCAGAAAATCAAAAACTTGGTCAAACTAGGTCAAAAATCGGGTTTGACCGAAAAAATATGAACCCGGTCCCTTTTTTTTTAAAATTTTTTTGAAAGGTCAAAATATTTTTAATATTATGTTTTGACCCCTAGGTTGTTAAAAATTACTAATATACTTCAAATATTTCATACTTTATAAAATGTTGTCTTAAAGTTTGGTGTTATTTTTCAATTAAATCCATAATTTTAATTCTAAACTTGTTAATGCTCATTAAATAATATAAATTGCTACTTGATTGTTCTAATTTATTTGTATTTTCTTGTTAAATATATTTAAAACGTCAAATATATATGAATATACCTTTATTAATATTAACATGTTATTATATATTTTACATATAATATTTTAATTTTTAAATAATTTTTATTTATGACGTCATCCGATTCAACCCCGATCGAACCCGATTGAATCCATTGACCTCTGACCCCTAAGTTCGACCGAGTCAATACCCGATCCTATTCTGAAAACATAACCTAAGAGGGGCATTAGGAATTGTGTTACTTCAGACTCTTTGGTTTACTACAAAGTACTTCTGTCCACAAAATAGGGGTATTAGATCCATTTTAGACGCTTTGAAAATTTTTCTGGTACTTTACTTTTTTGAGTGGATGTTGATAGTGAAGGAGAGGACGGACAGGAAGCAAAGTGGAAAAATTTTTTAGAACTTTCGAATTAGAAAGAAAGAAGATCGTAACTTGAAAAAGAAAATAAGAGATAGAGAAGTGATGTATGGAGAAAAAGAATATGCAGATGAGAAAAAGTCAATGAGAAGGAAGATAACAGATGATTAAGAATTTAAGATAGGCGTATAGGCGTTTTGCTTATTTGCAATAAAGACAGTATTTTGATTAAATTCCAAACTATGCCACTAAATCTAATATCTTCAACTGTGACCTATATAAATTCTGAATTTCACTTAAACATATGAAATCTCAAAGAGGAAAAAAAAAAGATCTATTCATTATTAAATAAACAACATTCAATGTACAGTAAAACCTCTATAAATTAATACCATTAGGACCAATTGTATTAATAGAATTAATAAATTATTAATTTATCAACTATATTTATAATTCAAAGAAACATTCATTTAATCAACTAAAATTTTATTTATTTTACAAAAAAATGAATTATTCTATTAATAAATGGAGGCTAAAAGTCCAAAAAATATAAACCAATCCATATCTATTTAACTAGGGGGGAAGGGCCCGCGCATCGCGCAGGTGTTTGGTGCCTGTGAGGAAGGAGGTTGATTTGTGGAGTACCTACATCCACAATACAGTGGTTCAACTGTATAGGCAGATAAGAATGTTGGTGCCTCTGGGGAAGGAGGTTTGTTGCCATGTTAACATTGCAAGAAGATATAGCCATCAAATAATGAGAAGCAGTTACCATTGCAAACCAGATATAATCCATAAAGAAATCCATAAAGTAAGAGAATGAGGCCAGTAGTAATAGTGCATGAAGGGAAGATTGGAGATATGGTAAATGCAGTAGTTTTGGCTCTATGGAGTCCCTTATTTAGTTATAGTAGTAGTAGTAGACGAGTTTAGATAGTTGAATAGGGCAGCCTTAAGTTCTCAGTTGCGTTGCTTCTTGGTGGTTCCATCCTCTTGTTGTGCAGGTGATGCATCACTGGTTCCTTCGCTGGACTTTGTGGAAGATGAGTTGTCGAAATTGGGTGGGCCAGCTCTTTTCCTCGTCTCCATTTCTGTCATTGCGACATCTATTGCAGTTCCTTGAGAGATGCGGCCTGTTTTTTCTGCTACTTCAGCTAAGCTTGTTGCACTACCAGAGTTCCAGGATGCTGATGTGGTTGCATAGTTTGTAGTGTACTTTGATATGACAGCAAGTTCTTCAGGAGTTGAGTTCCTGATGTGAGCAATGATAGCAATATATTTGTCTGCAGCAGCTGAATTGTACGTATTTTGAGTCTTCTTTACCAAACAGACCAGGTTGTTTTGTTTGATAAAATCCTCAATGGTGGTACAGTCCAGCTTGTTCTGTAATGGATTATGAAAGTTTAAAGATAAGCGAATAATGGATTAATTTAGTGAGTTTGAGTTGTGTTTAAGGGGCCATTTGTCTTTGTACCTGTATCTCTTGCTTTTGGATTTCAGCGATAGTGAAAGGTAGCAGTTGCTCAGCATCATTGCCGTTGAGATCAAGGGTGATTGAGCCGGTGTGATCTATAAGTTGTACCGTCAGTCTGCACCTGTTTACATAAGGGGGAAAAAGATATGAAGGAACCACTTAAACTACTTAATATGGAACATGAGGACATATTGTGCACAATTTCTCCAGTATAAGTGCGGTAACTTCAGATCCACATTATAAATGAGTACTATGAATAACAAAATGGGTCCCTCAAAAGCAGCAGATTAACAAAATGTAGGCTTAACAAAACTCTTTCTCTGTAAGTCTGCATAACTTAGAAAACCTTCAATCCATTTCAGTGAAACTAAAATGAGTTATGAGTTTTTGAAACATGAGAATGAGAAGAGGGAAAAATATTTTGAGTTGCATTTCTGGAGCATTACAAAGCCTTAGAATCATTTGGCTCTTGTAACCAGTAAATTTAGTTGTGACAAATACATTGCCTGCACTATAATTTGTATATGCATGCTTAATGTAAGGGAAACTGAGTGACATCATTCATTATTTAAGAGCCAAATGAATCCAGAAACATTTTTATCTCCTCTCCCTATTTAATCCAGAAACATGTCTAGACATACCAGGCTTTAGTCTTGCAGTTCCAACTCGCTGATATTTCAACCAACAAATAAGAATTTATTGACATTTATCGTTCACAGAGTAAGATAGCCAATAAACCCATTAATAAGTCCGAGATATCGTTTATCAAATTAAGACTAATTTGGTTCAAAATTCACATTCACTTGATACCAAATTCCAAAATGTACAAACTTCTGGAATTATAGAAACGAAAACAAGATAGCATGAGCCACATTATCTAATCAAATGATTTGCCTAAATTGAACACATTAAGAGATTCACAAATAAGAGTGTCACATAGCTCATATGCTCAACATGTTGGCAATATAAGTTGCTCAAAAATGTATGCATGACCATAATTATAATAGATCAAGTTTGCTGAATATCGGAATTCAGAAAATGGAAATTCAGAAAATAAAATGAAAAAAATGAAGGTAAGGAAGTCAAGCAAGCTATTATTATGATAAGAAAGGAGTTTTTTGTTGTTTTGGGGGGGGGGAACCAGATAATGGGAAAAGATGGAAAAAAGGAGAGAAAATGACCAGATTTCACGGGCAAAGAGAATGAACCAGGTGATGTCAAGCAAAATGGAACAGAAAAGAAGCACAGCATATGTTCTCCCAAGGCATAAGAATAAAAAAGTGAAACTTATTACAGAACTCATCTATCATTGTTGTAATTCATTTGGGCTATTTTTTGCTGTTTGTTTGCTGGTGATTTTAAATGATGAAGTTGGAAGAAGGTAACTGTGTAGAAAAGTATATATACCTGGGCTGACACGAATGCGTTTGTGGCATGACGTGCAGTCAAATTCCAAGTTCGGCCGTGCTCTAAGGTACTTGTAGCAGATAGGGCATGCATTGTACCACATTTTCTGGCTCCGGTCAAGTAGGTTTGGTATTCCCCTTATCCAGTATGGTCGCTTCTGTTCAATTGGTGTACAGCTGTTTAGATGGTTTTTAAATTGCATGAGTATTGCAGATTATATGGTTACCGTATTTGTAGTTGTCAAGCTTTTGATAGTGACAACTGTATCATCAACTGGAGCTGGGAGGAGGTTTAAGCGATCTGCATATGTTCGTTCTGCAATGAATTTCAGGAATGCTTCTTGATTTTTGCTTGACCTGCAAGTGGCAAAATGTATTAGGTAATGGAGGTATGATGTAAAGTTTGACCTTTAAGAATAGGTCATTTATTAGTTTATGCTGGATGTTAGAGGTTGACATTACCAAGTACGAAGCGCATTTGCTTGAGTAGTCGGAGGATTGATCAAGATACAAGTTGCAAACTTGGTTGATAGGTTCAAAGCTATGTGTCACAGAGAATAGTTTTATTTCATTAATATTTGGGGTGAATATGGGCCTAACATATTCAACGGTATGTAATAGTGAGAATCAGAAGCATTACTGTAGTCAAATGAATAGACTTACTATGATAGGAGGTTGCTTTAATTCTTAGAGCAGCAATGATTGGTTGTGTGTGGATCATGTCAGCTATTTGTTGGCCCTCATCAAATTCATGCTCACCCCAAAGCGTCAAGACAAGAGGTTGGGAGCTACATGTACAAGTTAGCCATGTTTATTTAAAATCAAATGTTATTTTGTTTAATGGGATGGATGTAATATGTACCTTTCATCGACTATGATTATTTCCCTGGTAGGTGTTGGTCCCCTCATGGCCCTTGGGTTAACATGTATAGCAACTCCAAGTAGATCTGTGTAGTAGAGATAGGTTGTCTATTCGGATGAATGTATTATAAAATAATATGAGAGGGGGCAAATGTTACCTATTTCTTCATCTGTGTCAATGTGCTCGTAGATTCTGCCATATGGTTTGAAGTTGAAGACATCTGGTAGCATCGGAGGCTCCGATTCATGAACTTGCTGCACAACGGTTGAATTGTCAATAACCCAGCAATATTCATTGGTATAAGTACTATATCTGGGCTGGACTGTCTCAAGTTTTGCATTGGAGATATAGTATCGACGGAATGGCTGGAAATGTCTCTTGAAAAAATGGATGTCACCACCGTATATCATTGCCTGTGCTTTTCTTCCCTGAAGTAGAAAAGTTTTCATTTGTGAATGGTTATGGTGTAGTGGAATATATCAGTTCAAAGTCTATGCACAAGGTTAGTTATTTTTAAGAACCTCTGTAGAAAGTACAATGGCTGGCATTGCGTCACATGTCGTTTACAGGAGACAAAGTATTTAGCACAAGCACAAGTTACTGCTATGTTCATGGACTTGGTCAATGAAACTACAGCATAACCAAGTTTAAGCTTTTTATTCTACCCAAGCAATATGCCTAAACCAGTATCTTGGAAAGGTGATAAGTATCTTGGAAAAATGAATCACACAGCATCATTATGCATGTAAAAGATTGGAAATAAGTTCAGTGACTATTATGTTGATTATATCTGTGATTCATTTTCTGATTGCGTTCTATCAACCTAATAACAAGGATAACAGTATAATATTACTGCAGGAAAGGCGAAGAAAAAGGATTATTGAGGTCAAAATATAAGGGCAGAGCAATGGAAGCCAAGGTACGAATAAGATCTCATGTTCCACATGGAAGTAACATACTCAGAAAATAAGAAAGTAAAGTTTCGTCAAGATGCAAAAGGAATTGAGGAGGTATTTCATACATAAGAAATGAGAATCATGTCCTCAAAGTTTAGTTGATTAGCCTTTAGCGAGATCGATTGTCGCCATAAGCAAGTCATGGCGTAAACATTATATGAATAGTAGTCACATTTAACAAGGAAGATTTGGTAATGTAGCTATTTCAAACAAGTCTCAATTGTGTTCTCGAGTGTCAGAACTGATCTTTATGAACTATTTAACTATTCAAATATCCCTCGGAATGATTTGAATCCTATCTTGAGGTAGTCATGGCATCAACTGCCAAATGCACATGCAGGGATTTGTGCCATATAAGAACATAAGCTTGCCAAGACGAAAGCTGCAGCATGTTGTCCAACAATGCAAAATTAAAGGATCACCACCTTATGCAAGATATTTCTTTTGAGTAAAATAAGAAATACATGCACAAATCGAAAAACAAACAACACAAGATGGTGAAAAATGATACATCCTGAGTAGATGAATTGCTAGTCCTTTTATGGACCATTTTTCTGAGGGAGAAGTTTTGGTGTTTTTTTTTCTGGGTTTTTGGTGGGGGGTGTAACAAGATAACTAAAGCTGCATTATCCATCCGTATGAAAAGCAGTGGCAAAATCCTGACTCAGACTTACAACAGTGGGAGGACGAAAACACAATCTCTTCAAGTCACAAACTTCTCTTTTTAACAATTACAAAGATAACAGGCTAAAGAACAGCGGGAAGTCAAGTTGAAAGCTCTATCTTTAGCTGAATAATGGAAAATAAGAAATATGTAGGCAATAGAAAGAAAAGACATTCTTGTAGACTTTTGTATGGTGTCTTTAAAGAAAATAGTATCTAAGCACACAAAACAGGTGATGAGCACAACAACCCCCATAAAGTACCTCCTGTAATGAGTGATTAGAGAAGGAATGATACCAACAGCCTAAGGACCACGCTGTCAACTCAAATAAACAAGAAATGGAGCATGAATGGTTTGGTATCCAAGAATTAAGAATCAGACGCGACCCAAAAATCCTATTAAAGAGCAAAGGCAGATACTATATATAGCAGAACCTATCAAACATGTGAAACAGTTATTTCCAGAAAGTAGATATCCACTAAAAGCATAAACCAGGAGAAGAGTAACACGAACTGAGCGCAAAGTAGGTCAAATGGCAGAAAGGCCAACTGAATGAGAAACAGCTGCAACTGCAGCAGCCGGTAGAGAAGCAAAAAGACAGAGTAAAGGGTAGACAGGCAAAGAGGAGAAGAAGAGAATAGAAATGGAGGACCTGCTGAATATGATCAGTAGTCGAGATAGTACACATATATCCACAGTAGGTCCAGTAGTGATGGATGAAATCAAAACACACGTACACACATAACACAAATCTCAATGCAGCATGAGCCAACCAAATGCTTTTCACTGCATTAGCACTTTCTCCTAGGCACAAAAAGAAACTATAATTCATTTCATTTCATGGCTAGTGCTACGATAGTTGGCTATATAGATTTCACTATGCGTCCTCCTAAGTCCATAATGCCGTTATCCTGAGTCCCCCCCACTGCTTCCCTACTGTGTCTGTATCTTCTCTTGTCCCATATGGTAGTTACAACCTACAACTTCCTATGGGCATTTTCAGACCGTTTTTTTGTACTACCAAAAAGCAGCATTGAATATCAAAACTGTTTCCAGTTACATGAGAAAGTGATAGTATATATGAAGCATAACATAAAGGTATAACAACAAATTACGGGAACTGAGATTGTGATCCCTTTTCCTTTTTTTAGCGTTTAACTTGGTGCTTTATTTATTTCAGTTACGTATTCTTCTGATCCGGCAGACAAAATCTTACACATCAATTAATGGTGGAAGCAGAATTTAATGATAAGTAATGTACAATAGCAAAAAGGTTCTAAAACTGATAATTAAAGAGGGGAAACGAACTATATGTTCATACAAAATCACAGTAGGAGGTTAGATCTGGGGATGGTCACAAAAGGGATAATTTTGGCAGCTATTACCCAGAATAAATTGAAGTTGCACCCTTTCATGAAGTCTTGAAGTTAATATTCTAGGAACACAAATTATGATGACATTTCAGGAAGTCTTGAAGTTAAGCACCTGACTTAGCATTTTTAATTAAAACACAGTTGAGTATGGAAAAGGGAAAATGAATAATCAGAAAGGTCATAGCAGGAGCTACATAAACTGGAGAACTTGAGCATGCAGTTTTTGGGTTTTTTGCTACTGTTCGTGTACGATAAGGCTGAACAAATTCTAGAGTGAGATCCATTATACAGCAAATCAAAATTAGTTTTATGATTGTAAGCTAAAATCTTGGGTTATTGGTATGTAGAAATGAAATTGTGAACAGGACAGAGTAACATAAAAATAAATAATTGTAGATGCCTAACTATTACCTCAGCATCAACAAAGACCAGTTTCTGATATGTAGTTCCTTTCCTTGAAGTTTGAGGTTTTTGCTTCTCCAGGACTTGGCCAATTGTAGTCCAGTCACTTAACTCTGGGCTGATCTCATAGAACCGAACCAAGTTGCTGTCCATTTTTCTCTGCAGTATTGCTGCAAATAGCTGGGAAAATAACTATGTTAGTATAATATTGGGGGATGATGTATATACAGCAGGTGCATTTAAACAATATGTTTAATAAGACTATGCATTTGCTAAGTGCAAAACTTCTTGGTAGACTATATTTGCAGTCAAACTGTCCAAGGTAATATCATGTATAGGAGGACGTATCAGGATCTTGACAGAATTGCTATTTTTAGCTCTTGAAATGGCAACATAAAGCTGGCCATGTGAAAATACAGGCTCACGAAGATAAATACCAACAAAGTCTAAAGTTTGTCCCTGAGCTTTGTTGATAGTCATTGCAAAACAAAGCCTTACAGGAAATTGTATCCTTTCAAAAGAGATTGGACAATTTGGATCATCTTCAACTCTAAAGCAAATCCTATGGAGAAAGACTTGTTTTCCACTGAATTCACCTGAGCTTATAATAGCATCTATTACATTAGATTTTAATGATCTACATACAAGTCTAGTGCCATTACATAGTCCCTCAGGTGGATCAATGTTCCGAAGCAGCATAATTGGTGTATTTTGCTTTAGAGTTAATCGATGGGGAGGTAAACCATTAGGCGTGAGGCTGTTTATGAAATCTTCCAGAATTGCTTGTTGAGAAGGATCTAAACATGTGTCACGGCTGATATAATCAAAAGAATCTCCTGGGAAGTTTTGGATCAAGGTATCATTGATCTCATCTACGAAATCATTTTTTGTAGTAAGGATAGCTCTATTGATTCCCAAATAATTGCTGCCAGCAAAAATTGAAAAATCTGGATACACTGTGTTGATTAGAGCAGTTAAAGATTCTTCTTCAGTGGTATATCTGATAAGCATTTTTGCAGGAATCTCAACATTTTCATCATATACAACTGGTTCAGTTCCATTGCCGATACGAAGAAGATATTCTGTAAAATTGGGGTCTGATTTTGCTCTCATATTTTCTTTCAATTGTATCTTTTGGAGTTCGGGCCAGATATAAGATGTTATTAAACTGGACTGAACAAAATCAGATTTTGATCCTCTAACAACAACTGGTAATACTTGTCTGAAATCTCCTCCAAAAACAATGACCTTTGATCCAAAAATCTCAGAGCTGTCCATTAGATCCCTGAATAATTTATCAACTCCCTCAATTCCAGCTTTATGTGCCATCGGTGCTTCATCCCAAATTATTAATTTTGCCCGTTGCAGTAACTTTGCTAATGAACTTTGTTTGCTCACTTTGCACATCTTATTTGGGTTCATGTCTAGCGGAATTTTGAAACGGGAATGTGCAGTTCGACCTCCTGGAAGTATAGCTGCTGCAACTCCACATGAAGCAGTGGCTAATGCTATGTATCCTTTTGATCTCACTTCTGCTAATAATGCTCTATATAGAAATGTTTTCCCTGTTCCCCCAGGGCCATCAACGAAAAAGCAACCCTTACTTTTCACAAAGACAGCTTCAATGATCAAATTAAATGCTACTTTCTGCTCCTTATTTAATAATGATATTGCAGATATATCATTTTCTGTGACTTTTATGCTCATTTCACTCATTGTATCTCGTGTACTTTTTCCAGCCTGATCAAATTTCAGCACTCTATGAACTAAAGAATATGTATTGATGTTCTTTCCCATTGACTCTAAAAATTTGTTGATTTCATGAAGGACCCTGTGCTCCTTTTCCTCAGTAGTTAGGTAGGGTAATCTAGCAAAATCCTCTGACATGGAGCCTTTAAACTTCAACCATAATGATCTGGCATCAGCAGGAGGGAAATAGACTAATAATGTAGCAAATAACCTCCTAAAACTGTAAGGCATGTGAAACAAGGCTGTCTCTTCTAGACATTGCTCTTGAGGATTGTTTGACTCAAATAAACCCCTCATGATTGCAGCCTCTCTAAATGTGGTCACACAAACTCCATTGAATGATTTCAAGTCAGCAAATGACTTAGGCCCTTTCACATTTAGCAACAGCAGCCTTAAGAAATATCGCTCTCCCTCTGTTGGGTTTGCAATCACTACTCTCCCAATGCAGTCTCTTTGTTTTCTAACCTCCCACAACTTTTTCCCAGGGTACCATACAAAGTATTCAGGGAATTCTTTGTAGGTGCATTTTAGCTTCTTTGCTGTTTCATCAGTAGCATTCATTCTAAAAAACTCAGTCAACATACTTTTTTTTGCATGCTTGTTTTTCATCAAATCTCGAAGATCAGCATCATTTTTAAAAGTTAATGACTGATAATTTTCTAAGTGGAGTTGAAGATGGATGACTGCAGGATGTATATCAAACAAGGGAAATCTATAAATTCGCCAAATTGCCTCTATCGGGGAAACCCACCTTGCTGCCTGATACTCTTTGATTTCATCTATTTCAGAAGATTTAGCTTCAGAATTGACAAAGAAATGAATTTTGTCATGACCCTTGTATATGTATTTGTATGTATATTTCACCACTTTTATTGTTGAGCAGATTTCTACATTAATGTGGCAATTAAATTTTGCTAGAAGATATGCATTGTATGGGACAACCCATCTATTGTCCAACTCATGACCTCGTACAAAGACTTTTCTTCCATTATTTCGTCGTCTATAAGTTGGATAAGAGTTTTCCCCATGCAATGTCTTCTCTGCCCAATCTTTAGGGTATTTGTTCTTACATTTTTTGGTGGTAGTTCCTTGCATACAAACATTTTCAGGCTTTTTGTCACCACATGGACCATGTATCATATGTTTCCGGACCATTTTAAATAAATGCTTCTGTTCCACCGGATCAGGTAATTCAGCAGATACAATTTGATCATATGATTCTGTTGAATAAAGTTTTGAAGCAGGGTGTAAAATGATAAGGAAATGAGCATGGGGTAATCCACGTTTTTGGAATTCTACAACATAGGTATAAGCTGCAACTTTTCCAAAAATTCCTTTTTTAAAGAGCTCTTCTTTCAGTAATTCAAGTTTTGCATGGAACACTCTAGCACATAGATCAACTCTATTTTGTGATTCATCTGTTGGCAGCATATTTTTTTTAATTTCTGGCCATGAAGGATTACAAATCATTGTCAAAAAGAGGTCAGGCTTTCCATACTTTTGTACCAAGCTCATGGCATCAACATAACGTCTTTTCATATCTCGAGGTCCTCCTATAAATGAAGCAGGCAAGATCACTCGTTGGCCAACGTTCGAACCCTTAGACTCCCCTTCAACAACAGAGTCCATTACTCCTTGGAGCTGTTCAGTTCTTATTAATTTTTGTCTCTTTCTATGGAAGTCAAGTCTTTGTGTTTCTATTTTCACGTACATGTCGACTACATACTGTTGGAATGCTCGAGCAGTGTTCAAAATACCAGGTGTATTTTGTTTTCTCATCTGAAACCTATATGCATAATATTCCCTCATCGACACATATTCTTTTGAGTCTTCAAATTGGCTGAAAGCTGATGCAAAAAATGTCAAAAGTTACCTTTAGTTACTTGCCTGAAATGTAGTGGTAATAGATAAAATTTTAATATTGGCTGTTTCACTGACCTTGTTCCTCAGATTGTATCATTTCATCGGCAGATCTGAAGCTCTGTAAAGTTGCATTATCCGTATAATGTTTAGGACATCTCTTTCGTTTTTTTGGGTTCCCAGTCCCTGATCTCCTAATTCCTGGTTGCCACCCTGTTTCACCTAAGGGAAATAATAATGGATACTGCAAAGGGTCGTAACAACCATAATAGTATTGAACTCTACGGCTTTCTCCACCATTAGTGTATACTTGAATATGCCTCGAATATGTTTGCTCCGCACCTTCACCCTCTACCCAAAGCGCTGCTACTTGAGATACAGTGGGCTTGTTAAACACCCTTTGATCACTATCACAATGGGTTTTGAGAACTATTTGATGGGATTCTAAATTAGGGACATGACGCAGACTACGAAAGAAGCAAGCATACGGGTTATTTTTCATCACTTCTATGAGCTTTAAGACCACGGTCTCACTGAGTTTTGCAGAAAATGCCATTCGATTTGCAAGCTCATGTTCAGTGTCATGGAAATATAGTTGTAAGAACATCCCCGACCCTCCATGAGGTATAAGTTGATTAATGTAGTGATAAGTCTGTCCCTGTATCTTGAATGTATATATCCCATTTGTCCTCTTACATAATGACTTGTCATAGTGAACCCCAAATGACGTAAAGGCAAACATGTTGTTATAGGTTCTTACATATGTCCTAAAACACAAAGCTTCTTCAGTTTTCCCCGTGAACAATTCAATCAATATGTCTGGAAGCTTATTTTCTTTCAACACTACCTCTCCATCTGAGCAGCAAAAATTAGCAGTCTCTGAAAAGAATTTTTTCGCCCCGCAATACTTACAGTCATCAACTTCAGGTAAAGTATCAGCTTCTAAGATAACGGAGGATAACAATTCAGTTCCTCTGGTCACAGAGCTGCCTACATTTAATAAAATTTGATTTAGGCGCTTATATTTAGCCAATTTAGACACTTTTCTTACATGTTTATTTACCTTGTTTATGTCGTCCAGACCGCCTTTTTTTTGTAGTTTCTTTGTTCGTTGCAGAAGCTGGCACTAATCAATAATTTTGATATAGTTAGAAACAACTCATTCTTATTAACGTTTAGTTTTCTGGGTATATGTATAAAATGCAGGGTGCTTTCTATATCTGAAAATTTTAACCTGTCATCTGGTTCAATATCTTCCTCTGAGTGGAGGGTTTCTGAGTGTTCACAGTCGATGAAGATGAAGATCCTATATCAACAATTGCAATTGATTACTATTTTAGAATGTAATTTATCATAGAATAGGTAACTACTTTGTATTAGAGTGTTACCTTCACCTATAGTTACCCTTGGTAAATCATTGATAGCATCTGTCAACAGGGCAGTACAGCTACTGCATATCACCGGTTGATCTATAAGTGTCAATTTTGAATACAATTAACATAGGATATGTGGAATATAAGTTGGAATTATACTAAAGCTTTTAAGTTACTAACTGCGGATCAACCTGAGGTTTTATGTGTGTCTGCATGTCGACAGGGGGCCTGACAGCAAAGATTTGGGGCTGCGCCTATATATGTATGTATAAAACATCAGCCTTGGGTTTCAATAATACATTAGGGTTTCATTTAGTGCTGGAATTGATCCAGATTATAATCTGCAAACCTGGGCAGTTGTTTGGAGTCTCAGTTACATGAGATGTTTGTGTGCAGCTTGTTCCACAAGGGTCACGTGTATCTAAAAAATAATGTATTAACATTTGTTGGCCTGGTCAAACGTATCTTAGGGATTATCTCTTCTTATTTAAAGTCATACTACCTGTATAACAAGGTCTACTGTTCTGTTGGTCTCCATCGTTCACTTCTAAAGGTTGCTGTAATAACAACCTTCTAGCTTCATCCTCACAGGCCTGTTGTTTTCTTCTCTTATAAGCATCTCGGCGTTTTTGTCGCTGTCGCTCTTTTTCTTCTTCAGACAATGATGCATATTTAGCCCTTGCTCTCTCATTTCGTCGTCGCTTTTGCTCTTCCAACTTGTTATCTTTACTTAGTGTACTCATTTTAAACTGCGATAATTATGCATCCTAAAGGTTTTCCTGGGGGTAAAATGCCTTTTATAATAAAGGTATTAATAATAACAGCAAAAATGTCCGCCATCACATATTATTTAAAAATTCGCTATCCTAGATAACAATCAAGGCACAAGATCACACAGATAAATCATATTTCTGAATGTTTAAGCATAACAATCAACAGATATGTATCAAGTTCAGTAGTAAATCAGATATCTAGCCAAGACATCTAATCTGGCCTATGCCTATCCATCCCCTTCACAGCCTTTACGTTTACTTGGTCTCTAGTTCAGAAATAATAAAGTACATGTTGTCCAGACCAAAGGGTGAGTAGGAAAGTGGACGGTGGGGTAGGCTGGATCCTTCAGAGTTAGATTTAGTGGGAGTTCTGAGCGGCTGGGAGTAAGGGCTGTAGTGGATTCTCTTATACAATTGTTTAAATCTGGCAAAAAGGATATATTCGTGACGCTTTGAATATACTACTCGGTGGCATTTAAGTTGGTGTTAACTTTAGCATCTTATGAACAATGCCAACTATACTAATGTTGTCATTTTACTATTCCCATCAGCAAAATTATATTTTCATGGCCATTTTCTAATCATCTACAGAGACCATTGATGGAGGCAATAGCACATTGTCACCACCTACGGATGGTCCATTGCGACATCAAGCCTGATAATATACTATTAATAACTGGAATGAGCTTAAGCTAGCTGATTTTGGCTCCGCAGAATTCCTTGATGATGGACAACTAATATCTGGAGTAGTGGGGGCTCATTATTATGTGGCCTCTGAGGTGGTAGCTGTTAGACATTATGATGAAAAGGTTGATGTGTGGAGTGGTGGTGTGATCTAGCACATAATGCTGGCTGGATTTCCACCATTCTCTGGTGATTCAGCCCCAGAGATTGTTGAGGCTGTTCCCAGGGCAAATGAGAGGTTTCCTACGACAGTGTTCAATTCACTATCTCCAGAAGTCAAGGATTTGCTTAGAATAATGCGTAGCAAAGATGTTAGCAGAAGATTTTCCGATGAGCAAGTACTCAGTAAGTATGGATGTGCTGATTTTATTCTGGATGTCCTCATTTAATTCGTTTAGGAAATATGATATTATTCGATATACATATTTTTTATTTCACCTCCACTTATGAACTTGTCAATGGAACAGATTTTGGCCCTCTTACAGTTACCCTATGATTACAGTTACCCTATGTTATGGGGTTACATTGTCAAATTTAAACCAAGTTGAGAATGGTTCTTGCACCACCTTTTTGCTTTTTATTGCAGTTCAAAGTTCTTATATCACTTTGCATGTTGTGGCTTTCAAACAAAACTAAATTGGAATCGGCTCAAATGCTCAAATTTTGCTTCTTGAGTTCATTATAAGGCAAATTTTATAACAATTGGCCATAGAGCCCATCTTGCCTTTTGTGGTAATAAAAGATATGAATAATCTAGACCTTTGTGTCTGTCTTATCATTCATGACCGTGAAACTTTATATTAATCTAGTGTTTGAGGCATACACAAATATGCGTGCAACTAACCAAAAATATATTTGTAAAACATTTTTATAGTACACTTGTTGAAATCATTTGTAAGATAATTGGCTCGATATTTTTACAATAGCTATGAAGAAAATTTGCCAAAGTAAAATGTATAAACAAATAGTTATTTGGTATAATCCACAACCACAACTGGTAGTTGCTTATAAAAATTAAGATTTATTAAATAAATTAAAAAAATAAAACAACAAGAAATACATTTTACTTGGTTGAAGGACATATTAGTACTTAGTAGTTATGGAAGTAGTTTAGAATGGATATAAAGCGATAAAATATTGTTTAAACCAAAAAATCCTCATTTCCTTTGTATATAGTATAGATAATTGGATTGGTCCTTAAACTTGTGTAAGTTATCTTTCTTTAATGAAAAATTTTCCTTCAACTATCATTCCCTCAAAAGGCAATGAAGTATTTACGAAGATATAGTTCATGCGCAGTTATGTGGGACTTGATTGCAATCTGGATACATATGACACTTTTAAAAAAGGTTCTGCCAAAAGAAATTGAACATCCTCTTTAAGGGTATTATGCATGCACCTTAATAAAGGAATATTCCATGGATTTTTTGACAAAAAAAATCCTTCCGTTGAATTGAGAAAAAATAGCTGAATTTAAAGCATGATCAAGGAATCAAACTGACATTAAACAAAATTTTCATTCTTATTCAATAAAACAAAAGCAAATCCTCATTTCACTCAACTTGCGTAAGCTTTAATCTTAACAGCAATTACATCGGTAGTCTAAGTACCAAATTTAGGCGCAACTCAACAAATTACTATCCTTGTTGGTCAAATCTTCGCTAGTTATGAATTAACACCTGATATGCTTTCTGTATCATTTCAAAATGACAATCTGTTCCTGACGTTCATTGGATTAATCAGGAGTAAGATTTTATGGATTCCTCCTGTAACTACACAAAATAACACTTAGAATATGGTTCCCTACAGGAATATCATCTTGTATAAGTGAACAATCCTATTTGTTGTCACAAATTGCAGTAATATCTTAGCTCAGTGATATTGATATAATTGACTTCAATTGCAGGTTTGACAGGAAGCTCAGGAACACATATGATCATCTTCTTTTTAGCAGGTCTTTTCCATACTCGTACCATCAATGAACAAAATTTTATTCTGTATTCCTATCTTTGAATGTTTTTGTCTTAACAGATCTCTTAACACAAAATCAGAACAACTATGCTTACACTATCTGCAATTTGGAAAAATATAGTGTCTTAAGATCTTCTATGCATTACTCTAATGTGTTGATTTTCTGTTACTGAAACAATGAAGCATAAGACAATTTGAACCATTTTGTGTACAACCATGAGTTGTTTTTTCCTTTTTCCCTGTTCCCTAATGGGGCTTGAAGAGGGGAAAGTAACGTTGCCCCAGTTTCAAGTCCCATCCTATGCTATTTGACTTGTTTCCTGAACCAACCTTCTTTCTGTTGCAGAAGTCCACTTCTTAGTGTGTATGCTGACATGTCTGTGACGTGTAAGGTATTCCCTGGACATTGTTTAAGATTCATAATGTAATATACTTGTATTGGCTCTCAATTTAGGTTTTTTTTCCTTCCTCCCATCAGCAAGGCAGCAAAGTCATTTGCTTAAAATTTCCAAATCACATGACAGAGAAATCTTATTTTGTGCATGGATGTAAGGTATATTATACTAAAATATAAGAAAGTTGGCATACCTCACCATGTAATAGTTTAGAGAAAGAAAGTCCGGGTATGACCCAGAGTTCTTTTCAGGCAGGTACCCTAGAGTTAAATCATTGGGCTAAAGCAGATTCTACTCAAAGTCAAAAATTCATCTCAAATTGTTGGAAGCTTTTAGCGCATCTAAACAGTTTCAGTTTCAGTTGGAAGCTTTTGGGCTGCACCTTGGGGTTACTATTTCTGTTACTTTAGGGCATCCATGCATGCATGGTTGACAGGGGAAGGAGGTGGTGAAATCAGACCCGTGGCTGTTGGAGAAGCTAGACCAGTGGCTGCTATAAGTTGAACCCATCACTTGGCCTCTCCCTTCATGTGCATACCTATAAGGAAACTGTACAGGCACCTCGTTGGCTAAATTCCTATCTACCTGTCTACTTATTAGGTCTGCTTTCTTCTATAAATTTTCCAGAAAGCATAGGCTTTAATATTTTGAAGCTCGAGTTAAAGAGCCGAAGCCTAGATGAGACTAAATACCAGTGGAATAATCGGATAACCGAGACAAAAAGGCAATTAAGTCCGAAAAAAAATAAAGAGGCACACCAAATAGCTAAAAATGAACAATACATGATATAATCAAGCACTTCACATATCGCGACAATCAAACTCTGTGAAAATGAAATTCGTGCATACTGCAGAAAGGCAAAATATGTCAAAAAACAAACCTTATTCCAGAAACCCAACCGAGAGCTCCTTCTGGATGTTGCTCCAAACCTATAAAAATATAAGTTAACCAGTCAAATTACAGAGGGCAGCCGGATTTGTACGGAAAATGCTAGCTTGCAGCTGAAATGCAGGATAAAAGTCTATAATTGCAGGAATTAAGAACAAATCGTCAAAATTAGGGGGAGGGCTGGAAAAATTGGGGGGGACAACTCTCACCTCAAACTGAACCACCAGGAGTAGCTGCGACTGAAGAACATTTCGAGGTGCTTAGCATGAAGCCAGGAAGAAATATCCCAATTGCAGAATGCGAAAAGGGTGAAACTGATGAGCGACGGATTCGGCATTAACATACCAGTGGTTTGGCTATTGAGTTGGGGGATAATTAATGAAGAGCAAATGGGAATTCAGAGCTGAGCTTGGATGAAGAAGGAAACGAAGAGGCAAGTCAGGGTAGTCAAAGCCAAAAAGAGAAAACGGAAGCACTGAAGCTCAAAGGGGAGTAAACTGACCCACGCTTATGGCCATTAAATTAAATTCAGATATAATTGAGCAAGAAATGGGTTCCGACCAAAGCCTTAGCATTCATGAGGGCACACCAACCAGCTAAACGTTTCAGACAGAGCAAGCGGTTAAAAAGGCTCATTAATTGTTGTTAAGGGATATTACAGTAATTACACTAACACACGAGCATATAGAGGTTGTACGAAAGGCAACTACAGGTGCACATTAATTGGACATTCCACCAATAGCCTGACGTCTCGTGAATGAGAACTTCAATTAATTGTACTAAAATGGGGTTAGGTCGGTAAATATACCAAACACAGGCTTCCTTAACGTCCACCTAAAGTATTTAAGTAATTTCACAAACTCACTGGCTTATGGGTGTTGTACCAGAAGCAACAAATAGTTCCAGATTAATTCCACATACCATAAATACCCAAATATTTCACCAATCTAAAGTTTTACCCCTCTATAAATAAGGGTATTTTGGGTAATATACCTAACCACAAGCTTCCATCACTTGTACCTACAGCTTATAAAACACACCAGAATATTTCACATTCCCAAAAGGTCCCTGCCTGTGCGGTTGAAATGCAAACCTCTCTTTCACCAAAACTCATTCTTATATAGTATAAGGATTTCCTAGTATAATTTGATTTTATTAATGTGTTCAATGTATGTACGTTACTGATATCATTTTTCTATTATCAAGAGATCAAAAAAAATTTTAAATTGATTACTAGAAAAAGTTAATGATAGCATTTATCAATTGCTGCATTTTATGCTCAACATGAAGATGATGCTAATTGATTTTTGGTTTAATAGGTTTGTTTCATTTGAGAAATTTCATTTATTTGTCCTTAAAATAGAAAAAACTTAATGTTGCTATCACCTAACCTTATTTTTTCGGCATTAAAAAACCTTATGTTTTTCTTTGCATTGGCCGTCGTAAATATTCTTCACCTTGGGAATATATTATTTGCACATGGATAGTGAGTACAATGGAAGAAAAGTCGGAAAAGTAAAAGAGAGGAAGCTTGAGGATAGATGGAAGGGAACTGATCTTATTGGTGTTGGAAAAACTGATCCGTTTTACAATGCCCCAATTCCCTATATATAGATGTGGCGTTATTTCCCGTACAGTGTCATCATGTTGACTTAGCAGGAAAACCTCTCAAACTAAGCAGAGAAATGGATTATTGCTTGACTTCTTTTTTATGACTAATCAAAATAATTCACTAAATTATTTCAATGTCAATATTACATTCCCTCCAAAAAAAAAAAAAACAACCAAAAATATAAAGACAAATCAATTCTCTACAAAGACAAATCAATTCTCAAAAATTATTCACTAATATGAATATCTATAATTCTAAGAAAAAGGTTGAGAGATGACTTCAGAACAATGATGTAATTCTTTTTAATTATTTTCGAATTTTCCATTGGGCTGGAGAAGTTCTTGGCATTTGAATGCTTGAATGAACTCTCAAGTTAATCAAAATAGGAGACAAATAAAAAAAAAATAGAAGTTTTGCTTGGCATTTGAATGACTCTCTAATCAATCAAAATAGAAGACAAATAAAAAAAAATTTAGTAAAATAGAACACAAATAAAAGAATTGGAGCAAGCAAAAGCAATTAATTAAACGCTAGAAAAAGGGCTTGAACCTTCGACCTTGTAATTAAGGTCCATACGCTCTAAACGGCTACGCTACTCCAACAGCTAAACACCCTCTTTCTTACCAAATATTTCAATCAAAAGTTGGTTAATCTTCACCCTTTCTACCGAAACTCCTACAAGATGTCCACGAAATTTGTAGCGCAAATATTAATTAAAGGCATTTAAGACTCCTTCAGCAAAAGTTGCGCTAAAAAGTAAATGCTTACAAATTGCAATTTGCTACAGAATTGTTTGGATGATAAATATACGCTTTTACTCTTCATTTTGTCCTTTTCTTTTTCATTCACTCTACAAAATGCTGCTGTTATTTAGGGCTAGAAATAAGTGCTACTTTCAATAATAGTAATAAATAGGGGTAGCAAATCCAGCAACTCGGTCAAAGATTGACTCCTACTCGAGTTTGACTGAGCTCAAACTATTAAAATATGGTTATTAATCAAACTTGAGCCTTTAGATATTCTCCTCGAAATCATCATGTGTGTGTGTGTAATATTTTATTTTTTGTAATTGTTAGAATAGATAAAAACTTATATTTTTAGAAGAAATTATGTCTTACTACTCGAATTCAATCATTTAACAACTCTTGAACGCAACTTGCTTCTCAAGCGAGCTCGAGCTCCTTATATTTTAGATAAATTGAGATCAAGCTCCTTGTATTTTAGATGAGTCGAGTTCAAGATTCGAAATCAAAGATTTGTTAAGCTCGAACTCAAACTCAGATAATACAGAGAATATGATACGGGATCTAGATGCTAAAGAAGCCAAGCCACTCGTTGAGCCTAGCTAAAGCTATAAAGAGTCATTTTTCCTTAGTTAATGTTATAGTTTTTGGTTTGAGTTTCTTTGTGCTTGTGTCGTTTGCCTAGATTAATTCTAGCAGCTTTAGTTTATCAAGTTGAGTCGTTAATTAGTGGAATAAATGACTAAAAGACCACGTTGAACATAGTTAGTAGTCGAATTGCAGTTAATTCGTAGAGTTAAGTGAAGTTAGGGTTAAGTTTCTCATTTCCTAGTTGGATTAGGAGTTTAGTCTTGTAGGCTATAAAAAGCCTTAACTTTTGTAGACACCAAAATTTTAATTTTATTTTTATTTAACCAAAGTTCGCAAAATGATAGTTAGCTATTTTTATTATATTAAGTTCATCATTTGTTAAACATTTTTTGCATTAAATTTCCGGAAAAAGAAAATTTTCACAACTAAAAATTTCAATGTTTTTTTAATCTTTTCAAATTCAATTTCTTCAAAATAAAATGAAAATTTGCAAGGCAAATCTCAAATAGGAATTTAACATTTTTGTTTACTCTAAATTTTTGCCTTGAAAAGTAAAAAAGAAAAAAGAACAAGAAATAGGTGGAATGCATGCAAGATAGCTAAGTGGTTTGAGTGAATAATAGCCATGTGTATTTGTCTTTTTGCACACCACAACACTTGCAAGAGATTAGGTGGCAAGGAGAGCTGTTGAGTTTTGGATGAAAAATCTGGAAAAGAGAGGAGGAAACTAGGGAGCTTGGGGCAAAACAAAGAAAGAAAGGAAGAGAGGGAGAAAGAAAAAAAAAAGGGAGAAAGAAAGGAAGAAAAAAGAAAAAAAAAACCAAGAGAGAGAAGGGGAGAAAGGGAGAGGCGGCGGCCAAAAAGAAAAGGAGAGAAAGAAACAGCAAAAGGGAGAGAAACCAGAGAGAAAAAAGGAAAGAAAAAAATTTCTGGAAAATTTGATACCGGGTTGATCAAGCAGCCATTTTCGGACACCATTTTCTCTTTCTTTTTACCTTATTTTTCATTTATTATTTTTTATACATACTCTATAGATGTAGGTAAATAACTTTTGTGTTGAAGATTTCGGGAGAAAACAACTTTAAGGCCACCAAATCGGACTTCGAAATTGGAAGAAAATCATCCCTGGTATCCGCAGTTCTTGAATTTTTTCTTGATCGCATC